TTAAGTGCCCCGCCGACGAGATAAGTTTCTCATCACTGTCGTTAAGCCTCATCACTGTCGTTAAGCCTCATCACTGTCGTTAAGCTTCTCTTTAATCATGTGACTGCCTCTCCCAAATCGTTCCTCTTATGCAGTCCTCCTGCATGCATCTTATACGGGGGTACGATGGATTGTTCGATGTACGTGTACGCGGCGGAAACCACTCGTGCTGAGCCTGAGGGTGCTGAGCGAGAGGTTGCTGAGACTGGGGGTGCTGAGTCTGCTGGAGTTCCTGCAGGTGCCTCGTCTCGGTGGGAGCCTCCCTCTCCACCGCAGCTGCGCGAGTGGTTTTCTCGTCGCTGGAGACTCCAGTGAGGTGCTGCTAGAGCTGGAGCTGCTGCAGGTCCTGCTGGTGCTGGAGCTGCTGGAGGTACTGGAGCTGCTGGAGCTGGAGGTGCTGGTGCTGGAGCAGCTGGAGGTGCTGGAGCCGCTGGTCCCGAAGGTGTTCGTACTGGAGGTCCTGGAGCTGCTGGGGCTAGTGGTGCTGCCGGGGTTGGAGCTGGAGGCGCTAGTGCTGTTGCTGCTGGAGGTGCTGCTGGAGCTTGAGCTACTGGAGGTGCTGGAGCTGGTGGTGCTGCGGGAGATGGAGCTGGAGACCCTGGAGCTGGGGGTACTGGTGCTGTCTCTGCTGGTTCTGCAGGCGCTGCGCGGGCGCGGCCGTACTTCGTTCCACTTCTTCAGCAGGTTCTTGGCCTCTCGCCTTCTACTGTTCCCACTCTTCCCTTACTGTGTCCACAGCCTGCCCCGTCGCAGTCGCAGCTACAGCCAGCTTCTCCACTGCCTGGTCCTTCTCCTTACTCTGGGCCGACTAGAGGTCTTACGGAGCGTCGTGAGCCTGAGTCTCGTCCTGCTTCGCCTGAATCTCGTCCTCCGTCGCCTGTTCGCGGTGTTCGCACTGGTAGTCGTGTTCCGCGTCCGCGTCCTCCTGCTGTCACAGGCACGCACCAGATGGCACTTCGTCCTTCCACTGCTCCACTGCGTGTCCCTCTGCCGTCTCCTCCTACGTCCTCCCTTGCTGACGGTCCGGACCCGGAGTCTGACTCCCTTCGTGCTTCTAGTCCTACTGTCAGGCATCTCCTGGCCACTGTTGTCACTGACCCTTCGTTTGAGTCCACTGTTGCGTTTGACCTAGTTGCTAAGCTTGTTGACTTCACTGCCACCTATCGTCTGGAGTACGCCACCTGTCGTCTGGACTACGCTCCTAGACTTGTTGCTGAGTCTGAGTCTGAGTCTGTCTGTCCTCCGTCCGTCGGGGGTGAGTGTGCTCTTGGCACGGACGCCCTTGAGGACAGACAGGAGGAGTTTGAGTGCTTTGCCGCTGCTTTACCTCATCTCGTGTCCATGCTGATTGCACCTGAGGGAGACCCGAATGCACCAGATATCCCGACCCCGCGCTCTTACGCAGAGGCGATAGAGGGTCCCTACTCCTCTCAGTGGCAGACAGCCATGGACGCAGAGATGGCTTCCTGGAAGTTCACAAGCACCTACGTCGGCGCGGTTCCCCCGCCTGGGGCGAACATCGTCAGTGGCATGTGGATTTTTAGGGTGAAGCGGCCGCCGGGTTCTCCGCCTGTCTTCAAGGCGCGTTACGTTGCTAGAGGCTTCAGTCAGCGAGAGGGAGTTGACTTCTTCCAGAACTTCTCCCCCACCTCGAAGATGACCACTCTTCGGGTTCTACTGCACGTCCCCACTCAGCGTGACTACGAGCTTCACTCTTTTGACTTCAGCACTGCTTTCCTACAGGGCAGCTTGCACGAGGAGATCTGGCTGCGCCGCCCACCTGGCTTCACTGGGTCGTTTCCTGCTGGTACCCAGTGGAGCCTCCGGCGGCCAATCTACGGTCTCCGCCAGGCGCCCCGAGAGTGGCATGACACACTGAGGACGTCTCTTGCGGCTCTTGGGTTTACTCCTTCTACTGCTGACCCGTCGGTGTTTCTACGCACCGACACTACTCTGCCGCCTTTCTACATCCTCGCGTACGTTGACGACTTGGTTTTTGCTACTTCTGACACTGAGGGACTCGCCCACGTGAAGTCGGAGTTGCAGAAGAGACACACGTGCACAGACCTGGGTGAACTGCGCATCTATCTTGGCTTGCAGATCACCCGGGACAGAGCACAGCGCACCATTACCTTGACTCAGTCACACATGGTGCAGCAGGTCCTTCAGCGCTTCGGCTTTACGGACTCCTCGCCACAGTCCACTCCTCTGCCTACTAGCCACTCGCTCTCAGCTCTGCCTTCGGATGAGTCCGTAGAGACGAGTGGCCCGTATCCAGAGCTTGTGGGCTGCCTCATGTACTTGATGACCTGCACTCGACCTGACCTGGCTTACCCTCTTAGCATCCTGGCACGCTATGTTGCTCCTGGGAGACACCGGAAGGAGCACGTGGATGCCGCTAAGAGGGTGTTGCGCTACTTGTGCAGTACGTCGGGCATGGGGCTCGTACTTGGAGGACGGGCTCGAGTTGTCCTCACTGGTCACGCAGACGCTTCCTGGGCTGACGACTTGGCTACGCAGCGGTCGTCACAGGGTTACACTTTCAGCCTTGGCTCCAGCTCTGTTTCGTGGCGGTCTAACCGCTTGTCTTCTGTTCTCAGCTCCAGCTGTGAGGCTGAGATCTACGCAGGGACCATGGCTGCACAAGAGTTACGCTGGCTCACCTACCTGCTGACCGATTTGGGAGAGCCGCCTCGTTCTCCTCCAGTGCTGTACGTCGACAACAAGGCCATGATTGCCTTGTCTCAGGAGCACAGACTGGAGCACAGAACGAAGCATATCGCTCTGCGCTACTTCCTTGCTCGAGAGTTGTAGCATCGTGGTCAGCTTCGTCTTGCTTACGTGGCCACTCGGGCCAACACTGCTGATGTCTTCACCAAGGCACTTCAGCCTTGTAATCATCAGCGTTTCTGTACTGTTCTAGGCCTTGTGCCCACTGGGCCTCACTTGCTCACTTCTTGACTTTGCTTGTACTGTGATCTCTATACAGATACCTGCATGCTTACACTTGCTAGGTTGTGATCGCTGTATATAACTCTGTATGTGAACTGGCCTTGTGGCCATTTGCTTGTGCTCAGAATGCGTGGTGACGTCGTGATCCACCCTGAGCTTCCTTTGCTTTTCTTGACTGGTCTTGTGACCTCTTGTTCTCCCCCACTTTACCTATGGGGGTGTGTCAAACCTATATGCTATAGTCTGTGTAGGCTGTAGTGGGGTAGTTCATATGGGGTACAACACTTTAGGGTTTCCTACTTGTACTCCTCATTCTGCTCAATGCAATCATTCCTCGTTCTGTTCTTTACATGCTGAACCAGATTAACGCATTTCATGCTTAACCAGATTGACTCATTTCTGTTGCACCTACTTCCCTTTGCGAACCCCACCCCACAGGTATCAACTGGGCACGAGGGCAGAGGGAGATCATCACGTTCTCTACTATCACGGCCACACATCAGGAGGATGTGGGCCAGGGTCGTCGCTAGCAGAAATTTCTTGTCTGTTTGTCTTATATTCATATCGAGTTTTTAGAGTTCATCTGATTTTTCAGAAATTGGTTTTTGTCATTTCTGATTGATGAGTAGTTTTTGAGTTTATCTGATCAATCAGGTTCTTGTTTTGGGTTCATCTGATACCGAATCCAATTATGTAGTGGTGAATATGGGATTAGAGTTGTGAATGGGCGAATCTGATGCGTCAGGAGGCGAATCTGTTAGTGTCAGGGGGCGAATCTGCTGTGTCAGGGGCGAAATTGTTGTGACGGGGCGAATCTGCTGTGTCAGGGTGACGGCGAATCTGCTGTGACGGACCGAATTTGCTGTGAAGGGGGTGATTCTGCTGTGACTGGTCAAGTCCGAATCAAATTGCCCATTCGATTGGTCAGACATGCATTTCGAATATATCTGAAACATCAGACACGGTAAAAAACAGAATCTGATGCATCAGGTGCCCTCAAATCTTAGCGACGACCCTGATGTGGGCTTTGCGGGCAGTCTGAAGCTCATGCTGTCCTCTCCCGACTGGACGACCTGCTACCCGAATCTCGTGCACTTGTGGATCGCCGTCGCCGTTCTTCCGCTCAGCACGGTGGAGTGCGAGTGCGGCTTCTCTCGGCAGAATGTGATCAAGAGCTGGCTTCGCGGGAACCTGTGTGACGCGAAGCTAGGGGAGATGATGACCATCTCGCTTCTTAGCTATGACATGGAGTGGCCCGAGTTACTGAGGAGGTTTAATGCTTTTAAGAAATGCAGGCCTGCCAAGGATGTGCTGATGGCTTCTGGGGAGAGACAAAGCAAGCGCGCGAAGAAAAGATCTGCCTTAGCAGCAGCAGCAGCCGCAGCATTGGCAGCAGCAGAAGCTGCAGCCCTAGAAGCAGCCCTAGCAGCAGAAGCTGCAAGGCTTGATGCAGAATACCCCTGGCTTAGTCGGAAAGATAAGGGAAAAGTTCCTGACCCTTTCGCGGAAACCGAGGATGACACTGATGATGATGAGGATAGCTGCGATAGTGACTCTGACTGGGTTGCTATTTGTCTAGGATGTGCTAACTGCTTAACATGTTGATAGATGTATGCATAGGTTCAATGTATTATTACTTTGTAGTAGGTTCAGACCGAAGAAGTTTTTTCGTCTGATGGATCAGACTGCATAGAAATTTTCGTCTTTAGAGTCAGACAACAGAAACTTGGTCATCTTGGCGTCAGAGGAATTTTGTTTTTTACTTATACTTTCAGACAGGCCCAAAACCTAGCGAGAGCCCTGATCCTCACTAGCAACATTTTTGTACCGGTATCCCTTGCATTATTTTGCACAATCGTAACCTTACTGTCTCCCATGCCAATTTCATCTCTGCTGCTCCTTCAGCAAGTCCAGTCCAAACTTCACCTCTTAAACCAGCAGCAACAGCTGCCTTCACTACGCTGGAAAGCCGTACCCTTCGCTGCGTGCCCTGCCTTCCTGGGCTGTGGTCACACCTTGTCCGCCAGGTTGCCACTGGAGGCACTGCGCTCAGTCGGCCCGAGGGAAGCACCCGTTGTAACAGCAGAGGGGGCACCAGCAGCAGCGGCGCCGCTAGCAGCAGAGCCCCCGGCACCCGCAGCCCCTGCAGCTGCCGCCTCTGCTGCCTTGGCCAGTCTCTCCTCCAGCGCCCTTGCTCCCCTCTCCCTGTGCGTGACAGGAGGGGGGGACCAGCGGACAAAGATGGAAGTAGGAGTCAGGATTGAGGCAGGGTCTCCAACAAACACCGGCAGCTCATCTGGAGCATGCACAAAGCGCCAGCCTAACATGAGAGAAGGTGTATGCGCTGCAAGAGGCTTCAGCAGCCACAAAGCCCGACATCGGTCTTCACTCAACCTTTTCTCAAAGTACGTGGTAGGAACGGAGGGTGAGGTAGAGAAGAGAACGAGCAGCGAGACAGAGGAAAGCCCACCTGCCCCTGACCCCACCTGCCCCTGACCGCACCTGCCCCTGACCGCACCTGCCCCTGACCGCACCTGCCCCTGACCCCACCTGCCCCTGACCCCACCTGCCCCTGACCCCACCTGCCCCTAGGCTCACCCGCCCCTAGGCTCACCCGCCCCTAGGCTCACCCGCCCCAGGCCCACCTGCGCCGGGAGGCCTCAACGGGGTCGGAGCCGGGCAGCGGCTTGCCGGCCGCCAGCAGCTCGTCCTCATCCACCACCGCAGCCCGATCCACCCGCCGCCCGCACAGCAGCCGCCCGAGAATGGTTGCTACAGTGCCCACCACCGGTCTGGTGAATAAGAGGAAGGCGAAGGATGGAGGAGGATTGTGGTGGGAAGGCATGTGTGAGGGGTGCGTGCCAAGCGGGTGGTATGTGGGGTTGCGAAGATCTTAACAAGTAGCAGGTGGGATAGAAAAGGTTGATATTCACACCCCCAATCGTGTTAACTCAAAACACATTTGATTGAGGAAAACAGAACATAACCAGAATGCAGCATACCAGAAGCAGGATAGAAGAAACAAAGGGAACAGAATGGAGCCCAACACAGTCAGAGGAGAAAGGAGAACGCAACGAGCATGTGAAGTGAAATCAGCGAGGCTCACCTGAGCGCCTCTGGGAAGACGAGAGGCTCACCTGAGCGCCTCTGGGAAGACGAGAGGCTCACCTGAGCGCCTCTGGGAAGACGAGAGGCTCACCTGAGCGCCTCTGGGAAGACGAGAGGCTCACCTGAGCGCCTCTGGGAAGACGAGAGGCTCACCTGAGCGCCTCTGGGAAGACGAGAGGCTCACCTGAGCGCCTCTGGGAAGACGAGAGGCTCACCTGAGCGCCTCTGGGAAGACGAGAGGCTCACCTGAGCGCCTCTGGGAAGACGAGAGGCTCACCTGAGCGCCTCTGGGAAGACGAGAGGCTCACCTGAGCGCCTCTGGGAAGACGAGAGGCTCACCTGAGCGCCTCTGGGAAGACGAGAGGCTCACCTGAGCGCCTCTGGGAAGACGAGAGGCTCACCTGAGCGCCTCTGGGAAGAAGTTCTCAAAGGCAAAGTCGTCGGTGGGGTCGCCCTTGAGGCCGCTGTCGCCCTTGGGCTGGAAGAAACGCAGATACGCCCAGCTGGTGTACGTGCCGAATAGGATGAAGGGCAGCAGCTGGCGGTAGTGGCCGATGCAGAAACACAGCACCACCGTCAGCAGCACGAAGAGGGATGGCAGCCACTGAGGGCGAAGTGAGGGGAGGGTGGGGAAGCGAGGGATTGTAAAAGACAAGAAAAAGGAGGGGAATCCATTTAAGAACACGTCTGTAATGCCACCTCAATTCGTTTTGCAAACTAAGTGTTTCGAACACAGCAATCATCAACATCAACGCTTGCGCTCGTGCTCTTGCATTTCACGGGCACATGAACAGGCAAAACTGAGATCCAGCAGAGAGACAAATGAAGCCAGAGCTATAATGCACGTACACTGTTTTGCCCTTATACCCTTGCGACACCCAGCTATTATTTACGACTATGAGTGTGGGCGGAGCACGAGTGTACGGAGCTCAGATCCTTGCCTCTCTGGCATACAGCACCAGCCACACCCCACGACGACTCCCATGACCCCTCACTTGCCACCTGCACTGTGCCACTGGCACTTGCAGCATGGGTTGGGGTGCGACACACCTTGGCGCGGAACTTGAGGACGTAGGCGACGGTGATGTCCTGTTCGGGCATGAGCTGCTTGACGCCCACCAGCAGCCCCGCCACCACCCCGTGGAACCCTGAGATCGGCTCGTACCTGCGCACAGCAGTGGGGGGGGAGGTGGAGAGAGGGGTGAAGCGAGGGGAAGGCATGTGCGTGTGTGTGGAATGGCAAGCCACAAGTGGGAATGCAGAGGTGTTTCGCCGCCACCAGATTATGAACACCTGGCGAGCAGTCAATGAACGAGAGGGTTGGGGATGCAATGGGAGGGAGTGCAGGCGCGTGCAAGGTGGACTTCATACGCATATCTCCATTCTCTCCTCTTGTCACTGCACTGCCCCCTCACCACTCCATCCATCCCCTGCACCCTATCGAGACCTGATCTTGCAGCTTCACTGGCGCCATGTTTGGTGTGCACTGCAGGCGTCCTGGCCTCAAAGACAGCACAATCCATCCAGCTAATCCGCACGCAACTTGAGCGCTCCCCGCTATCTGTGCCACAACAGGACCATTTCCTCACTTTTTGGACACCTTCCCTACCACAATTCCTGATAGCGACTTGATTACTTGCTGCTCCAATCGCTCATGTGCTGGTTGAGTGTTGTCCCCATGTGCAGCTGTATCGAATCGACACTCCAACATGTCACCGCCCTTGGTTGCTTCCTCCTTCCCGAGACGTGTGCGCCATACACACGGCCTACCACAGTGGTGCAATGGCTTGCTTACGCTCCGTGCTGGAGCACAAATGGCGTCGCAGGCAGTTGCTACATGTCCAACCGCCGCGTGCGATGACATGCGGTGTGTGCAGTGTTTGAGCAGTGAGAGGAGCATGAGGCCATTGCAATGGGCTACGGACGTCATACACACTACAGGACAACTTAGCTGTTATTCACCTCTCATGCCATCACACACGGTGCTGCAGCACTCACGGAACAATAGCCCTGGAACGTGAGGCAGTAAGCAGTAACCATTGCTGTTCCGCACCCCTATCAACCCCGGCGTGACTACAAGCGAGAGGGGTTATTCTCAGGCACTCCTAGACGTTTTTTGTAAGAACTCAAGGGTGCGTCTTACAGGAAGTATCCGCGGAAGGTGATGTAGTAAGCAGAAAGAGACCATGGCGATGAAAGAGCTGTTAGCGCGTATCAGCAACAGGATGGCGGCAAGCAAGAACGGCGATGGGGCTCACAGGAAGTAGCCCTGGAAGGTGAAGTAGTAGGCGGTGACCATGGCGATGAAGGTGCACACGGTGGTCAGCGTGCTCACGATCAGCACGAAGCGCAGGAACTCGCGCGACCCCCACACCGGCTCCAGCACCCGCCCCAGGAACAGCAAAGCCACCACGTCCAGCACTAGCTGCACGGCGGAGGCGGGTGGAGGGGCAAGGGCGGGTGGAGGGGCAACGGCGGGTGGAGGGGTGTGGGACGAGGGGTGAAGCAGTGCGCAGAGCCAACTGGTGCCGCCCACGTGTGAACAAGCTGGCTCTTAACGTTCAGCAGATTCCATCCAGACTCTACTAACAGGACACTGCATTCGCCTTTCAGTGAAGAGATGGCGCAGTGTTGGTATCACAATGACAGCACCTTGAGTTTCTCGCAGTGAAGAGGTGGCGCTCAATAGAACGCCCCAGTACCCACTGGGTCAAAACGTGCATGTTATAGCGCTGCGGCAGATGGCCTTCAGCCCTTGCTGTGAGCTGGCAGGCGTTGCACTCACGGTGAAGAGATGGCGCTCGAAGAGGCCCGCTGTGACGAGATTCCACGCGAAGGGGATGGTCCTGCGCGCACGGGGGGGGAGTGGGGGGGTGACGAACTGAGCATGACAGCGAGTGACGGAGGTGGTGACGGTTGGGGGAGGGGGGAAGCCTGGTGAGAGCTTGCACGCGTATGGCATGAGGCTGAAGGGAGGACGCAGGGAGAGGGCCAACATGTGTGAACACAGGAGGGGAATATGTCAGAGGCGTTCACGGCCGTGCAGCTTGCCTGTGCGGGCGGCACTTGCCTGTGCGGGCGGCACTTGCCTGCCGGGCAGCAGCGCGAAGGCGGTGTGCGCGGAGGGCAGCAGCGACACGACGTAGCCCATCAGCAGCACCGCCGCCAGCCCCTTGGACAGCCGCGTGAACCCGCTCAGCGCCGCGCGGCCCTGGGGGGGGGAAGGGTGGGGGGAGAGGGAGGGGAAGTGGGGGGAGAGATATGCGGCGCGGAACGTGGAGGGCGAGAAGAAGGGCGCACGCTGGCCGCTCTCGGGGCCAATCACTGGCTCGATGAGATGTGCGGGATGGCATGCCATGGGAGACGCGGCACGAGACGTGCTGTTTCTTCCACACTCTAATATCACATTCGCCAAAGTGAGTGCGAATGTAACGGGGGACGGTGCAGCGGAGCCAGCGGCATGGCGCTGAACAGGGCCGAGCAGCGGAAGCATGGCGACAACATGAGAGGTCAGCCCGCACAGCGATGAATCGTACCACAGCCAGCAGCGAAAACTGCAGGGCGGGCGAAGAGTGAGCTTACGAGCAGCGCTTGGGGGTTGGGTGCCTGCGCGCTCATTGTGACCCGCAGATGACGTGATGCCGCGATAACACGATAGCACGATGCGATGACGAGGGCACTGTCACGTGAAAGATCTCGTAGTAGTCGTACTCGCGGAAATGCAGGCGAAGTCGCAAACGACGTCCTATTTTCAGCCAGAAACTACGCAAGATCTCAGTGCCTTCAAATATTCGACGCACTATTGTGGAGATAAATCGGTTCGTTATGCGAGCAGAGGGAGTACATGCATAATTGGGGTTAGGTATGCTATATCTCAATGGTGCTGATAGGAGCCTTGATACTGTCTATATAAATGGAGGGACATCCGAGGGGTGAGAGTTGTTATTAGGAGATGCCGTATCCATCTGGTCACTATATATGGTTATGTAGATCACGTACACCCTGGAAACATAGAGTATAACTAACTATATTTACACATATTCTTTTGCACAGCGGATAATCTGGTTAAAGTTTTTTGTAACATTAGCAGCATCGTGAGGCATCGCATATTGAAGATGCTTGAACCAGAATTGGATTCTTCACCACTCCACCATCCTGCACTCCACCCAGCCACCATCCATCACGCCACCCATTTCATCCATTCACCACCGTGCCATCCCTCGCTGCTCTCCCACCGTCCTCCGCTATGCGCGCTCTCCTGCTTCTCCGCGGCCTCGCAGAGCGTCGCTGCGCGGCGGACAGGCTGCGCGTGATCGCCACGCACCTTGCCCCCGCGCCGCTCACCTCGCCCCTCGCCGGCCGCGCCGACGACGTCGATCGCGCGGACGCCGCCGGACGGGCGGGCGCGTCGTCGTCGCGGCGGTATTTGGTGACCGCTGGCGCGGCCGCCCTCGCCGCTTCCGCTGCGGCCTCGTCGTTCGCCGCTGCTGGCGCGGAGGTAAGGCGAGGGGCGCAGCAGAACGGTTAGTGGAGGGCACGGAGGCGCGCAGCGGGTGACCGGCGATGAGATCAGGATTTGATCTCCCTCTTTTCCTGCCTGCCTGCCTCATCCCGTCCCGCCCCTCTCACTCCCCCATCCCGCCCCTCTCACCCCCCATCCCGCCCCTATCGCCCTGCCAGGGCTCGTCGGGCGCGGCGCACTGCGAGGCGGCGCCCAAGGCAGGCAAGTCATCTCCGCCCTGCCACCCGCCTCCGCCCTGCCACCCGCCTCCGCCCTGCCACCCGCCTCCGCCCTGCCACCCGCCTCCGCCCTGCCACCCGCCTCCGCCCTGCCACCCGCCTCCGCCCTGCCACCCGCCTCCGCCCTGCCACCCGCCTCCGCCCTGCCACCCGCCTCCCCCCTGCCACTCGCCTCCGCCCTGCCACTCGCCTCCGCCCTGCCACCCCTGCCTCCGCTGCTTGTGTGGTGTTGAAGGTGACTAAGTACATGCTTCTAGGATCATGCACCATCGCCAATTGCCAACTCGGATCCCACGTGCCTGTCGGAGCGTCTCCCTTCCCTCTCTCCTCTGTGCAGCACTGAACCCACAGCAGTTCGTGGCGTTCAGGGTGCAGCAGGTGCAGGACATCAACCACAACACCAAGATATTCCGGTGCGTCTCTTCATGTGTGCCTCGCTGCTGCGGATGTACACAACTCAGGCATGGCAAGGACGTTCTCTCTCACTGCTCCACCTCTCCTTTGTCCTTCTGCCCCTCCATTGCCTTGCCAACCCCCCCTTTATCACACATTCCCTCTCTGCTCTTCCCGCATATACCCTCTTTGGCCTTCCCTCCCTCCTTGCTCCCTCCTCCTCGTCCCACTCCCTCCCTGCCCCACCAGCTTTGCCCTCGACCCCGACACACGCCTCGGCCTCACAGTGGCGTCATGCCTCGTTACAAGGTCACATACATGCATGCTGCTTGCCTCGTTACAAGGTCACATGCATGTCGAAATAGCAGGCTAAAACGAGAAACAGGAAAGAGAATTTTCACTAGCAGCAGTTGAAATACATATAGGAAACCTTAATTGGGTTGTACTCGCTATAGAGTACCCCACTGCAGGCTAGACAAACATCACATTCTGACACACCCTCATAGTCAAAGTGGGCTACAATCAACACAACAAGCAAGCAGAGCAATAGTTCACAAGGATAACCAAAACTAGAGGCTATCACAGAGGGCAAGTGAGGAGGAGGAGAAACTGTGGGGGCGAGAAGATGCGAGACGACGGCTGAAGCTGCAGACACACGGGCAACAGGAGTGCGCAGCACTGTCGCTACCAGGCTCAACTTGGACTACACGGCGACAGACGCAGCTGGCTCACTGTGCTCCCAGGAGTGCTCACACTGTAGCTACCGGGCGCAGAGCCCCGGACTACTCAGGCCACAGAGGGTTGTGGCTCTCTGGACTACCAGGAGTGCTCACACTGTGGCTACCGGGCGCAGAGCTCCGGACTACTCAGGCCATAGGGGGTCGTGGCTCTCTGGACTTCTGGCGCTGCGGACGACAAGTCGGCTACCTCCGGCCAACCTCCCCCAACTGTCCCACACCCCATTCACACACTCCCTGCTGAACCACTAGCACCGCTCACACACCACCCCCCTCGTACCACTCCGACGGCTCCAACACATCCACCCCCCTCAGCGGCAGCTGCAGCAGTGGGAGACGTAGGAGGAGGAGGAGGATCAGGGGAAGCCTCACACACCCGGCACCCCCATACTCTCCACCCCCAAACCCTAACACAGGAGCGCGGGCAGCAGCGGGGGTGGGGCGCGGTCAGAAGCTCGAGACCAACCGCACGCGGGCTGCCCGGGCCGCGCGCGGGCCTAGCGCAGCCCATACGGGCCGCGCGCGGGCCTGGCGCAGCCCGTACGGGCCGCGCGCGGGCCTGGCGCAGCCCGTACGGGTCGCGCGCAGGCCTGGCGCAGGTCGCGCGGGCCGCGTCGGGCGACGAGGGGCGACGCGACGGTCGACAGGGGGCGACGCGCGGTTCGACGGGGCAAAAAACCGCCGCGCGCTCGGGGCGCGCGGCGGGATGAAAAATATGCCGTGCACCCGAGTGCGCGGCAAGTAGAACACGTCGCGCGCCCGGAGCGCGCGATAGGCAGGACAGCAGCGGAAGCATTAGGTGGCGGGCCCATCCACAGGATCGACCCAGGAGGGTCGCCCTGCTCTGATAGCATGTTAGAATCTAGCAGCAGGAATGATTGAACTATGAAAAAGTTGGGTACTTTAAAAAGGGCTGTACCCCATGTTGGCTACCCCACTACAGTCTAAACATATATACCAGATATGACATTTGACACACCCCCATAAGCAAAGTGGGGGAGAGCAAGGGGTCACAAGACCAGTCAAGAGAACCAAAGCAAGCTCAAGGTGGATCACAACGCCACCACACACACTGAGCACAAGCAAAGGGCCACAAGGCCAGTTCACATGCAGAGGTATATATGCAACAACAACAATACAGTGATCTCTACTTAGCAGAGCAAGCATGCAGGTGTATATATATAGATCACAGTACAAGCAAAGTCTACAGCAAGTGAGGCAAAGTAGGCACAAGGCCTAACAAAGTGCAGAAACGATGATGATCACCAGACGGAAGTGCCTTGATGAATATATCAGCAATGTTGGCCCGAGTGGCCACGTGAGCAAGACGAAGCTGACCACGCTGTTGCAACTCTCGAGCCAGGAAGTAACGCAGAGCGATCTGCTTCGTTCTGTGCTCCAGTCTGTGCTCCTGACACGAGGCAATGGCGGTCTTGTTGTCGACGTACAGCACTGGAAGAGAACGAGGCCGCTCTCCCAAGTCGGTCAGCAGGTAGGTGAGCCAGCGTAACTCCTGTGCAGCCATGGCTGTGGCGTAGATCTCAGCCTCACAACTGGAGCTGAGAACAGAAGACGAGCGTGTAGAACGCCAAGAGACTGAACCAGAGCCAAGGCTGAAGGTGTAACCCTGTGACGACCGCTGCGTAGCCTGGTCGTCAACCCAAGAAGCGTCTGAGTGCCCAGTGAGGACAATTGCGCTCCGCCCTCCAAGCACGAGCCCCATGCCCGATGTACCGCACAAGTAGCGCAGTACCCTCTTCGCAGCATCCATGTGCACCTTTCGGTGCCGACCAGGAGCCACGTAGTGAGCCAGAAGGCCAAGAGGGTACGCAAGGTCAGGTCGAGTGCAGGTCATCAGGTACGTGAGGCAGCCCACTAGCTCTGGGTACGGGCAGAGGCTGCGCGCGGGCGACGAGGGCCTGCAAGGGCAGCGCGCCGGCCTGACAGGCCTGCAGGAGCGGCTCGCGGGCCTGACGGGCCTGCAGGTGGCGGCTCGGGGGGCTGACGGGCCTGCAGGAGCGGCTCGCGGGCCTGAGTGACCTGCAGGTGGCGGCTCGGGGGGCTGACAGGCCTACAGGAGCGGCTCGGGGGCCTGACGGGCCTGCAGAGGCGGCTCGGGGGGCTGACGGGCCTGCAGGGGCGGCTCGTGGCGAGGGCTGCAGGACGGCGCGCGCAGCTCAGCACGTCACTAGGCAAGGCAGGCAGGCATAGGACAACACGTGGGGTAGCACGGTAACCGCAACGGTAGGTGGGCCCGAAAAAAAACGGTCCTACGGACCTAGTGCTCTGATACCATGTCGAAATAGCAGGCTAAAACGAGAAACAGGAAAGAGAATTTTCACTAGCAGCAGTTGAGATACATATAGGAAACCCTAATTGGGTTGTACTCGCTATAGAGTACCCCACTGCAGGCTAGACAAACATCACATTCTGACAATGCATGCATGCTGCTTGCCTCGTTACAAGGTCACATGCATGCATGCTGTGCTGCTTGCCCGTTACAAAGTCACATGCATGCATGCTGCTTGCCTCGTTACAAGGTCACATGCATGTATGCTGCTTGCCTCGTTACAAGGTCACATGCATGCATGCTGCTTGCCTCGTTACAAGGTCACATGCATGCATGCTGCTTGCCTCGTTACTAGGTGACATGCATGCATGCTGCTTGCCTCGTTACAAAGTGACATGCATGCATGCTGCTTGCCTCGTTACAAGGTCACATGCATGCATGCTGCTTGCCTCGTTACAGGGTCACATGCATGCATGCTGCTTGCCTCGTTACAAGGTGACATGCATGCATGCTGCTTGCCTCGTTACAAGGTGACATGCATGCATGCTGCTTGCCTCGTTACAAGGTGACATGCATGCATGCTGCTTGCCTCGTTACAAGGTCACATGCGTGCATGCTGCTTGCCTCGTTACAAGGTGACATGCATGCATGCTGCTTGCCCGTTACAAGGTCACATGCATGCATGCTGCTTGCCTCGTTACTAGGTGACATGCATGCATGCTGCTTGCCTCGTTACAAGGTCACATGCATGCATGCTGCTTGCCTCGTTACAAGGTCACATGCATGCATTCTGCTTGCCTCGTTACTAGGTGACATGCATGCATGCTGCTTGCCTCGTTACAAAGTGACATGCATGCATGGTGCTTGCCTCGTTACAAGGTCACATGCATGCATGCTGCTTGCCTCGTTACAGGGTCACATGCATGCATGCTGCTTGCCTCGTTACAAGGTGACATGCATGCATGCTGCTTGCCTCGTTACAAGGTGACATGCATGCATGCTGCTTGCCTCGTTACAAGGTGACATGCATGCATGCTGCTTGCCTCGTTACAAGGTCACATGCGTGCATGCTGCTTGCCTCGTTACAAGGTGACATGCATGCATGCTGCTTGCCTCGTTACAAGGTGACATGCATGCATGCTGCTTGCCTCGTTACAAGGTCACATGCGTGCATGCTGCTTGCCTCGTTACAAGGTGACATGCATGCATGCTGCTTGCCCGTTACAAGGTCACATGCATGCATGCTGCTTGCCTCGTTACTAGGTGACATGCATGCATGCTGCTTGCCCGTTACAAGGTCACATGCATGCATGCTACTTGCCTCGTTACAAGGTCACATGCATGCATGCTGCTTGCCTCGTTACAAGGTCACATGCATGCATGCTGCTTGCCCGTTACAAGGTCACATGCATGCATGCTGCTTGCCTCGTTACAAGGTCACATGCATGCATGCTGCTTGCCTCGTTACAAGGTCACATGCATGCATGCTGCTTGCCCGTTACAAGGTGACATACATGCATGCTGCTTGCCTCGTTACAAGGTGACATGCATGCATGCTGCTTGCCTCGTTACAAAGTGACATGCATGCATGCTGCTTGCCTCGTTACAAGGTGGCATGCATGCATGCTGCTTGCCTCGTTACAAGGTGACATGCATGCATGCTGCTTGCCTCGTTACAAGGTGGCATGCATGCATGCTGCTCGCCTCGTTACAAGGTGGCATGCATGCATGCTGCTTGCGTCGTTACAAGTTGACATGCATGCATGCTGCTTGCCTCGTTACGAGTTGGCATGCACACATGCTGCATGCCTTGTTACGAGGTGATTTGATGAACAGAGTTCAAGTAGATTCGAGTAAGCTGCGTTTGTACTCCTGGCGCTGTTGTGTCTCCACCAAGTGAATATCTGCCTGTCATGCTCGTGCGGCATACTCACTTACTGCAATTCTACTTTTGCAGGGCGCCCATCGGACCACCTGGGGACGACGGGAAGCCCAAAGCAGTCATTCGACCGTGAGACACCTTCCACTCCCCTCCACTCCCCTTCACTCCCCTCCACTCTCCTCCACTCCCCTCCACTCCCTTCCACTCCCCTCCACTCCCCTCCACTCCCCTCCACTCCCTTCCACTCCCCTCCACTCCCCTCCACTACCTTCCACTCCCCTCCACTCCCTTCCACTCCCCTCCACTCCCCTCCACTCCCCTCCACTCCCCTCCACTCCCTTCCTCTCCCCTCACTCAACTACGCGCCTCTGCAATTTTTGGTCATCAAGTCCGTGCTCACAGAGGTGCAGAGAGCGGCATGGGCAGCAGTTTTCATAACGCCCCTTCCTCATGCATGCAAATGCTTGCGTTCGCCTGGGCAGGTTCACAGTTCACTCGCTCGCTGTTGAGAGCATGGCATCCACTCATCGCTGTTGAGAGCATGGCATCCACTCATCGCTGTTGAGAGCATGGCATCCACTCATCGCTGTTGAGAGCATGGCATCCACTCATCGCTGTTGAGAGCATGGCATCCACTCATCGCTGTTGAGAGCATGGCATCCACTCATCGCTGTTGAGAGCATGGCATCCACTCATCGCTGTTGAGAGCATGGCATCCACTCATCGCTGTTGAGAGCATGGCATCCACTCATCGCTGTTGAGAGCATGGCATCCACTCATCGCTGTTGAGAGCATGGCATCCACTCATCGCTGTTGAGAGCATGGCATCCACTCATGATGCCGCCACCTATTCTCACCTCGTCCTTATCTTCTCTTTTCTTGTTTCTTCGGTCACCATTCCTCCATGCCACCATGCCGCCATGCCATGATGTCATCGCATGCGTGCCTGGCGGTGCTGCGGTGCCATCATCAGGTACACGCCCATCACTCCGCCAGATGTCACGGGGCACTTCGACCTGCTAGTCAAGGTGACCTGCTATTCAAGGTGACCTGCTAGTCAAGGTGATCTGCTAGTCAAGGTGACCTGCTAGTCAAGGTGTCTGCACGGGCTCACCCACTGAGCATGCCGCCTTGTAGCTTGCCCCTGTGGGCGGCCATGCGAGCTACGATTTGACTTCATCGCCCAAAGCTGTACACAAGCCATCTGCAGGACGTGCCACACCAGCTCGAAGTGGCCCAGCACACTCTGGCACGCCCAGCACACTCTGGCACGCCCAGCACACTCTGGCACGCCCAGCACACTCTGGCACGCCCAGCACACTCTGGCACGCCCAGCACACTCTGGCACGCCCAGCACACTCTGGCACGCCCAGCACACTCTGGCACGCACAGCAGACGGTCATTCCGTCCTTTCGAGGCGCCAAGTTGGTGATTCAAGTTCTGCTCATACTTGGGGGGTGGTGTGCAAGGGAGTATGTAGGGGTGTGTGTGTGTGTGTGTGTGTGTGTGTGTGTGTGTGTGTGTGCGTGTGCGTGTGTGTGTGTGTGTGTGTGCGTGTGTGTGTGTGTGTGCGTGCGTGCGCGTGCGTGCGCGTGCGGGAGCGTGCAAGCGTGTGCGCGCGTGTGCGTGCGTGTGTGTGTGTGTGTGTGTGTATGTGTGTGTGTGTGTGTGTGTGTGTGTGTGTGTGTGTGGGCGCGTGCATGCGTGCGTGCGTGCGTGTGCGTGTGGCAAGCCTGTGCATGTTTCCTGCCTCCCATTCAGTACCATCCGTTCTCTCTTCCCCATTCAGTACCATCCGTTCTCTCTTCCCCATTCAGTACCATCCGTTCTCTCTTCCCCATTCAGTACCATCCGTTCTCTCTTCCCCATTCAGTACCATCCGTTCTCTCTTCCCCATTCAGTACCATCCGTTCTCTCTTCCCCATTCAGTACCATCCGTTCTCTCTTCCCCATTCAGTACCATCCGTTCTCTCTTCCCCATTCAGTACCATCCGTTCTCTCTTCCCCATTCAGTACCATCCGTTCTCTCTTCCCCATTCAGTACCATCCGTTCTCTCTTCCCCATTCAGTACCATCCGTTCTCTCTTCCCCATGGTCGCCTCTCTCCCTCCATGCATCCAGGTGTACCCCAACGGCAAGATGAGTCAGCACATGTTCTCCCTCAAGCCAGGCGACGTGCTTGAAATGAAGGGGTGAGCGCGCATGTGCTTGAAATGAAGGGGTGAGAGCGCATGTGCTTGAAATGAAGGGGTGAGAGCGCATGTGCTTGAAATGAAGGGGTGAGAGTGCTGTGCACATTAGCTTGAAAAGGACGGGGTGAGGTTACATGTGCTTCAGCTCACCGTAAAGACAGTGGTGCTGGAATGAAGGGATATGAAAAGGTGCTTTAGGATTGAAAGGAGAGACCATGTTGTTGTGGCGACGGGACAGCACGTTGCTCTCTTCTCTCTGGGTGGCGATGGGACAGCACGGTGCTCTCTTCTCTCTGGGTGGCGATGGGACAGCACGTTGCTCTCTTCTCTCTGGGTGGCGACGGGACAGCACGTTGCTCTCTTCTCTCTGGGTGGCGATGGGACAGCACGTTGCTCTCTTCTCTCTGGGTGGCGATGGGACAGCACGTTGCTCTCTTCTCTAATATGGCCTCTCATGTGCTCCTTTGCACTGTACCGTCTCTCCCCTCCATCCCTCTACCCTTTTCTTTTTCCATCTCTTCCTCCCCTGCCCCTTCCCTCCCCCCTTGCCAAACGGGCCTCTTCGTGCATTCATGTGTGTGCCTCTTCGTGCATTCATGTGTGTGCCTCTTCGTGCATTCATGTGTGTGCCTCTTCGTGCATTCATGTGTGTGCCTCTTCGTGCATTCATGTGTGTGCCTCTTCGTGCATTCATGTGTGTGCCTCTTCGTGCATTCATGTGTGTGCCTCTTCGTGCAGCCCCATTCCGAAGCTGCCCTACCAGCCCAACATGAAGCGCAGCATTGGCATGGTGGGATGGGGGCATGGTGGGATGGGATGATTAAAAAGCACATGCGCGGCCTTTCAATACACAGCAAATTCGTTCTTGAGCACAAGACAAACGTTGAGATGCTTATCAAGTCTCCTGTTTCTCCGTCGCCCGCGCCCCCATTCCCATTCCCACCCCAATGTCCTGCGCCCACCATTCCGTCCACATGCCTCCAGCCCAGTTGGAATTCTTTGGGTTTGAAGCGCAGCAAGTCTGCTAAGAGTAACGATCTATATGTCTTGCCTCCTGCCGTCCTCGCTTCTCTCCACATTCCCCCTCATCTTGCCTCCTGCCGTCCTTGCTTCTCTCCACATTCCCCCTCATCTTGCCTCCTGCCGTCCTTGCTTCTCTCCACATTCCCCCTCATCTTGCCTCCTGCCGTCCTCGCTTCTCTCCACATTCCCCCTCATCTTGCCTCCTGCCGTCCTCCCTACTGTCCATGTCTCCGTATCCCCTCTCCCTCCTCACTCGCTCCCTCCTTCCCTCCCTCCCTCCCTCCCTCCCTCCCTCCCTCCCTCCCTCCCTCCCTCCCTCCCTCCCTCCCTCCCTCCCTCCCTCCCTCCCTCCCTCCCTCCCTCCCTCCCTCCCTCCCTCCCTCCCTCCCTCCCTCCCTCCCTCCCTCCCTCCCTCCCTCCCTCCCTCCCTCCCTCCCTCCCTCCCTCCCTCCCTCCCTCCCTCCCTCCCTCCCTCCCTCCCTCCCTCCCTCCCTCCCTCCCTCCCTCCCTCCCTCCCTCCCTCCCTCCCTCCCTCTCGCCCGCATGGCAGGTGGCGGGGGGGACGGGCATAACGCCCATGCTCCAGGTCATCGACACCATCCTCTCCAACCCCAACGACCACACGCAGGTACGCCGAATGTGGTGTACAGTCGAGTTGGGCATGTACGTTACTGTGCCCGTGCAACTGTGTTGCGCTGCCCACCCACCCTTTGTGCTACCCCCCAACAAGCATCGTGGTGATTGGTCACTTGACTTGAGCCACGCTGCTTGCTCCCACCTGTGGTTGGACCTACCACCTGTGGTTGGGCCTACAAGCTGTGGTTGGGCCGACCAGCTACATTGTGGCTTCTCCTGTGTGACGCTCCACCACCACCTTGGCCCTCAACCACTTCCCATCCACCTTTCTCTTGCATCCTATGTATTCCCCTTTCTCCTCAATGCAATCAACCTCTTGATTCCCAGCACCGTGCCTCCCGCGCCGCGCATCACTCCCGTGCCGTGCCTGCCATGCCATGCCATGTGTCCCCTGGCAGGTGGCGCTGGTGTTCGCCAACACGTCACCGGCGGACATCCTTCTCGCCGATCAGCTGCGCGCCCTCGCTGCCTCGCACCCCAACTTCAAGGCATGCCGCCCCCACTCCCCACCCCCGCTACTCCCCACCCCCGCTGCTCCCCACCCCCGCTGCTCCCCACCCCCGCTACTCCCCACCCCCGCTACTCCCCACCCCCGCTACTCCCCACCCCCGCTACTCCCCACCCCCGCTACTCCCCACCCCCGCTACTCCCCACCCCCGCTACTCCCCACCCCCGCTACTCCCCACCCCCGCTACTCCCCACCCCCGCTACTCCCCATCCCCGCTACTCCCCACCCCCGCTACTCCCCACCCCCGCTACTCCCCACCCCCGCTACTCCCCACCCCCGCTACTCCCCACCCCCGCTACTCCCCACCCCCGCTACTCCCCACCCCCGCTACTCCCCACCCCCGCTACTCCCCACCCCCGCTACTCCCCACCCCCGCTACTCCCCACCCCCGCTACTCCCCACCCCCGCTACTCCTCGCCCGCACGTCGCTCTATGCTCACTCACTCCACTCATCTTCCCCTCCTCCCTCACTCACTCGCATGCTCTCTCTCTCTCTCTCTTCTTCGCACACCCTCCTCCCTCTCCCCTCGTCACCATCTCGCAATGCTGTGCTGCGCCTCCACCCATGCACACCACTTGGCACTCCACACGCCTCCGCCCATGCACACCACTTGGCACTCCACACGCCTCCACCCATGCACACCACTTGGCACTCCACACGCCTCCGCCCATGCACACCACTTGGCACTCCACACGCCTCCACCCATGCACACCACTTGGCACTCCACACGCCTCCACCCATGCACACCACTTGGCACTCCACACGCCTCCCACGTTGTCCGCGCATTCCTCCACATCCGCCACACCCCGCTACGCGGAGCAGGTGTACTTCATGGTGGACCGCGCGGAGGCGGGGGCGGCATGGAAGGGCGGGGAGGGGTTCATCACGGCGGACGTGCTGCGCAAGGCGCTGCCACCACTGTCCCCCGACTCCCTCGTGCTCGTGAGTGCCCTGCTGCATGCCATGGGGTGGCGTGGCGTGGCGTGGCACGGCATGGCATAGCAATGGATAAGATGACATGGCATAGCATGGCTTTGAATCTCATCATTCACATTGAATAACATCATATTAAATTACATCACACATCACATCACATGTCATCATATCATATCACTGGCAGCACATCACCTTGTTCCCCCTGGGTGGCTGGGTTCGCAGCATGGCCTCTGTGGCCCCTGGCTGCCCTGCCTCTCACTCACCCCGTGTGACTGCACCTCACTCACCCCGTGTGTGCAGGTGTGTGGGCCGCCCGGCATGATGCGCCACGTGTCAGGCGACAAGGCACCCGACAAGTCGCAGGGGGAGGTGAGTGGCAGGGGGAGGTGAGTGGCAGGGGGAGGTGAGTGGGGGACAGGCAGGGGGGCAGCTGACACAGAAACTGTTACTCATGAGGGTTGCCCCAGAGCAGTGCAATGCTGTGGTACAGTAGTCCCCCACATATAGGCGCGCATCCGGTAACTGGTTGTTTAGCGCATGCGCTTATGCTTTGACTAATGAGCAAGTTCACCCCTTTTCAAAATCACGATTTTATTTAAAAAAAAAAAAAACTTTGATGCACAGGTAATTCGCATTCGATACCGTATTCTCCCGGACATAACACCCTAGGGTATAGCTAAAAATACAGGGAAAAAATGGGGGGGGTCTCCTCATAGGAAAAAAATACATAATACCCGGGTCTTTACATATGGCATATTTTAGTGTTAGTGTTTTTTTAATTAGTCAATGTGGGTGTTTTGCTGGTCCTTTTAGCATCACTGCCTGAGGCGCGAATGTGAGTTTCGGCCTCGAACTTCATCGCCCTCACGAAAATGCCATGTGGCACCTCTCTTGCCACTTGCAACGGAAGATTCACCTGCACGTGGCAACAGAGAAATAGTGGGAGGGGGCAAATCTCGGCAGATTGCCTTTGAATGTACCGCGAAATTTCATTGAGGGAGAAATTCACACGATATTCTTCCGTATTGCAGCTACTCGTTAACGACTATAATAATGAATCCGTAAGAAAAGGGGGGTGTCATAGAAAATCAGCCAAAAAGGGGGGTATAGTAGAAACGAGGTCTATCATAACACCCACCCCGCACAAGCTACCCGGGGGTGTACAATTATGGGGGGGTGTTTTGTCCGGGAGTATACGGTACCTTACGTTCTATACCTTCCTTGTCCGTAGTGCATGTGATGTGAATGCTCGGTAAGTGCGGCTTCTTGACTGGATAAGGGGAGCAATCTGATTGTTCTCTTCTCCGCGTTTGCTCCCAATATTCCTCTCCCAATGCAGCTGGATGGCCTCTTGAAAACTCTCGGCTACACCAAGGACCAAGTTTACAAATTCTGAACCGTACCAGCGTATTTTGAATGTAACAACAGTCATGGTTGAAGGACGAGAAATAGCTGCTGCATCTAGCAGGCTCAGATGATGTTGTGCCATGCGTTGTAACTATACAACAAACTGCAACCATTCCCCCACTGTATGCAGGACATTCACCAAGTACCGCATTGAGAAAGCTTGCTTTCTGTTCCTTGTAATTTGGCATCGTTCTCATTGCAACTGGCTTATTACAACATATGCATCGTTCTTAAACACATGCTAGTACATAATTAACTATACTAGCTATGGAGCCATCCGTCCAAGTGACTGTGGTACGTTAGATGGTACTGGGGTGGGTGGTGGGAATGTTGATAGAGCCGTTGAAAATAGAGAAACATGGGTGGAGGGAAATGAACTCCAACCCACGGTTTTTGTAGTTGGAGAAGGGCGTTTAGCGCGCTTCGACGCTGCCAAATATTCGGTACAGGCAGCTTCGCTTTCACAATACACAATTATGAAAAACACGAATGTGTTTAAAAATTATAATATTTCAGAGCCCTCTTTTGACAGGCTGAAGGAAACATTCCTGTGGGGACACAAGTGTCTCAATAACTTTGTGACACCAAAAAACTGTCATAATCAACCGTGCAAGAATGAATGAACTATGAATGAGTTGGGTACAAGTACTAATCGTAAAGTATTATATCCCTTGTAGGCTAACCCACTATAGCCTAGAGAGAACACAAACATATAGCTTGACACACCCCCATAGGCTATGGGAGAAAGACCAGAGAACACAACAGATGGTCACAAGACCAGTCAAGTAAGAGAACAAGCAAAACAAAGCTCACAGTCACAGTGGATCTCAAGGACACCACACAATATGAGCACAAGCAAGCAGCCACAAGGCCAATTCACATGCAGAGTTATAATAGCAAGGCAGTACACTGATCATAGCCTAGCAAGAGTAAACAAGCTGGTATAAAGATATATATCAGTGTACAACAAGAGCAAGTCAAGCAACCAGCAAGTGAGGCAGAGTGTGCACAAGCCCAAGAGCAGTGCAAAAACGCTGATGATCACCAGACCCAAGGGCCTTGGGGAACACATCAGCAGTATTGGCCTGCGAGGCCACGTAGGAAAGGCGGAGCTGATGCCGCTGCTGCAGCTCACGTGCAAGGAATTAGCGAAGAGCAATGTGCTTCGTTCTGTGCTCCAGCCTCTGCTCGTGACACAAGGCAAGCATTGCCTTGATGTCGACGTACAGTACTGGAGGAGAACGAGGTTGCTCCCCTAGGTCAGTCAGCAGGTAGGTCAGCCAGCGTAGCTCTTGTGCAGCCATGGCCCCAGCGTAGATCTCGGCCTCACAGCTGGAACCAAGCACAGAAGAAGAACGAGTGGACCTCCACGAGACAGAACCAGAGCCAAGACTGAAGGTGTAACCCTGTGACGAACGCTGGGTCGCCTGGTCGTCGGCCCAAGAAGCATCGGAGTGTCCTGTGAATACCACTAAACCAAGTCCTCCAAGGACAAGCCCCATGCCCGATGTACTGCTCAAGTAACGCTGTACCCTCTTCGCAGCATCCCAGTGCACCTTTCGGTGTCCGGGAGCCAAGTAGCGAGCCAGGAGGCTGAGAGGGTACGCGAGGTCAGGTCGTGTGCGCGTCATCAGATACATGAGGCAACCTACAAGCTCTGGGTACGGACCACTCGGCTCTACGGACTCGTCCGAAGGTGGAGCTGAGAGCGAGTGGCCGGTAGACAGAGGAGTGGGCTGTGGCGAGGAGAACTGGAAGCCGAAGCGCTGAAAGACCAGGTGCACCATGTGTGACTGAGTCAGGGTGATGGTGCGCCGTGCTCTGTCCCGTGTGATCTGCAAGCCAAGATAGCTCCGCAGCTCGCCCAGGTCAGTGCAGGTGTGTCTCTCCTGCAGCTCCGCCTTCATAGGGCCAACGCCTCCCGAATCAGCAGTAGCAAAAACCAAGTCGTCAACGTAGACGAGAACGTAGAATGGCGGTAGGGTAGTGTCAGTGCGTAGAAACAGCGACGGGTCAACAGAGGAAGGAGCCAACCCAAGAGCCGCAAGTGTCATCCTTAGCGTGTCGTGCCACTCGCGAGGCGCCTGGCGGAGACCGTAGACTGGCCGTCGGAGGCTCCACTGGGTACCCGTAGGAAACGATCCAGTGAAGCCAGGTGGGCGGCGCAGCCAGATCTCCTCGTGAAGGCTGCCCTGCATTAAAGCTGTGGAGAAGTCGAGGGAGTGCAGCTCGTAGTCACGCTGTGTAGCAACGTGCAGCAACACCCGAAGAGTAGTCATCTTCGGGGTGGGGGAGAAGGTCTGGAAGAAGTCGACCCCCTGTCGCTGGCTGAAGCCTCGAGCAACGTAACGCGCCTTGAAGATAGGCAGAGAACCCGGCGGCCGATTCACTCTGAAGATTCACATGCCATCGACTATGTTCGCCCCAGGAGGAGGAACCTCGTGCCTGTGGACTTCCAGGAAGCCATCTCTGTGTCCATGGCTGTCTGCCACTGAGAGGGATACTCACCCGCGATCGCCTCATCGTAAGAGCGCAGTGTAGGGATGTCAAGCGCATCCGGGTCTCCCTCAGGGCAAAGCAGCATGGATGCGAAACGAGGTAAAGCGGCCGCAAGACACTCAAGCTCAAATTGCCTGTCCTCAAGGACGTCACTGCTAAGGGCAGGCTCACCCCCGACGGACGAAGGACAGACAGACTCAGACTCAGTAACAAGACTCGCGACGTAGTCGAGACGACTCATAGCTGCAAAGTGGACTAGCTCAATGACTAGGGCAAACGCAGCAGTAGACTCAAATTCAGGGTCAGTAACGACAGTAGCGAGGAGATGAGTGACAGTAGGACTGGCAGCACGAGCAAGGTTGGACTCAGGGTCAGGAACGTGCGGAAGAGAGGACGCGGGAGGCTCAGGCAGGACAACAGCTGTGGAACAGAGGAAGTACGAAGTGCCATACTGTGAGTGCCTGGGACAGCAGGAGGACAAGGACGGGCAACACGACGAGCACGAACAGGTGTGGAAGCACGAGTCTCAGGCTCACGACGCTCAGTCAGGGACTCAGTTACCTCAGTGTGAGGAGCAGGAGCAGGCAGCGGGGAGCCAGGCAGTAGCTATGGCTGAGACAGGTCTGTCGGTGGGCACAGGAGAGGTGGAGTGAGGTTAGTGGAAGACGGGAGACTAAGAACCTGGCGAAGGACCGAGTCAGGCGGTGGCAGGGACGACTGCGGCTGCGGGTAGAAAAACGGTTGGCGCGGGGCAGTACCAGCAGCTCCATCTCCTCCAGCACCAGCAGCACCAGCACCTCCAGCACCAGCAGCTCTAGTAGCACCTCCAGCACCAGCAGCACCACGAGCTCTAGCAGCGCCAGCACCTCTAGCACCAGCAGTACCTCCAGCACCTCCAGTGCCAGCAGCCAGCAGCACCTCCAGCACCAGCAACACCACCAGCTCCGGCAGCTCCAACACCTCCAGTACGAGCACCTCCAGGACTAGCAGCTCCACTACCTCCAGTACCTCCAGCTCCAGCGCCTCCAGCACCGGCAGCACCAGCACCTCCAGTGCCAGCAGCTCCAGCACCTCCAACACTAGCTGGACCTCCAGGACTAGCAGCTCCAGCACCTCCAGCACCAGTAGTACCTCCAGGACTAGTAGTTCTGGCACCTCCAGCACGAGCAGCACCTCCAGGACTAGCAGCTCTAGTACCTCCAGCACCAGCAGCACCTCTAGTACCTCCAGCACCAGCAGCACCTCCAGCAGTACATCCAGTACTAGTAGCTCCAGCACCAGCAGGACCGTACCCTCCATCACTAGGATTGCCTCGCCGAACGATCCACGCACGAATCGCCTGTGGCGAGAGCGTCTCAAGTAGATAAAGCTGCGGTAGCTGTCCAGCTCCAAGACCTCCAGTAGGGTCACCCACAGCTCCACCGCCACTAGGACTCGCAACACCCCCAGTCGCAGCACCCCCA